AGCTGACTATAGAACTGGTGTAAGAATTTCCCCATCAGAGTTCTCAGCCTTGAAGACAGTAGGATATTCACTGGAGGTATGAAGGCCACCATGAAGAACAACGGAAGTAGGAAGGGCTGAAGACACGGAAAGGATGCCTGTGTGAAGGAGAGCGGGCCTTCTGCCATGGAAGGAACCTCACAGAAATACATCTGTAAGAAGAACCTGCATCCTCATCAGTTCTGAACCCAAAGGGGCACATGCTTATTCTGTCAGAAAACAGCAATTCTTGCTTCAGGCATTCCACTGTTGGACTTTGACTGTTGTTTTTGTTGACATAGGGTTTCTCTGTGTAGCCCTGGCTGTCCTGGAACTCACTCTGTAGACCAGGCTGGCCTCAAACTCAGAAATCTGCCTGCCTCTGCCTCTGCCTCTCAAGTGCTGGGATTAAAGATGTGTGCCACCACTGCCCGGCTGAGATTTTGACTTTTTTATTCATTTATTTAATGTATATGAGTGCTCTGCTACATGAACACCTGCATGTCAGAAGACGGCATCAGATCCCTTTATAGATGGTTGTGACCCAGCAAGTGGATGGCTGGGAACTGAACTCAGGACCTCTGGAAGAACAAGCAGCCAGTGCTCTTAACCACTGAGCCATCTCTCCAGCCCCAAATTTTGACTTTTTAACTTTTTAAGTGGTGCTAAAAGTCTCTTCTGAATGAACTCTATTTGTAAACAGTATCTTTTATCTCTCCTCACAAATACCAGGGGTGTTAAAATCTTACCCATGAAATTAATAAAGTAGAAGTATGCACCAATAAGTCAGGTTTATTTAAGAGAGAGAGAGAGAGAGAGAGAGAGAGAGAGAGAGAGAGAGAGAGAGAGAGAGAGAGAGAGAGAGAGAAACAACAAAAATCCCAGCATTTCCAGAGTGGCCTCAGGCCTAATACAGATCTCTTGGCTTGGGATGTAGCCCAGTTGGTAGAATGCTTGCCCAACATGCAGGAGGCCATGGGTTTGATCCCCAGAAGCACATAAAAACAGCACAATAGTGGTGTAGACCTGTAATCTCAGTCCCAGAGGTGGAGATTGGAGAACAGAGGTAGAAAGTCATCCTACATTACACAGCAAGCTGGAGGCCAATGGAGCTTCATGAGACCCTGACTTAAAAATGCCAAGACAGAGTTCCCTTTATGAATAAATAAATATTAGTAAAGCCCAGGAAGGAGATGTGGAGAAGTATCCAACATCCTTAAACCACATGCAACCTCCAGAAGTAAGATGACTGAAGATCCACAAGACCCTCAGAAAGCTGCACGACAGCTTCTCCACTCCCCGGGGCTACACTTTCCCACAATAAGAATGGAAGTGAGGTGTGTCAGGGTGCTGCTGCTTGCTTCGAAGATGAGAAAACATTTAGGGAGATGGGAGTGCAACCCAAATTAGTAACCTGTGGGAAATACACAAAGAAATCTGATACCTTAGAAAGTACTCAAAACAGTAAGAAAATAAACTGAATGGGGGACCTTGAGAAGGAGAATAAAGCTGCTCTCGGAAGCCATGGGTCATTGATGAAATCACAGGGCCAGAAGTGGGCCTAGCTCTCTACAAGTTGCTAGTCAGGGAGGATCCTGAGACACAAAAAAATATCTTTAAATTGCCAGTGCCATTGGCTGCCCATTAGAACTGGATAGTGAGACCCTATCGCTGAAGATGCATCCAATGTAGTTGAGGGACATAGAAAAAAAATCAAGCTGCAACTGGGCTAGAAGCCTCCTCCCTGCTGGCTACCCTCACGGTGTGGGACGCTGCTATGTAGGCTGCTGGGGCATTCAGTTGTGGGCCTCATGTGCAACAATATTAACTTGCCAGCAAAGATGAACTCACTGGTATAGCTGTGGCAAAGGTCAGCATGGGAGTAGCCAATGCTTTCTGGTTGGATTTGAGGCCTTTTCCACAGGCGGGAACTCACACCTAGCATGGTCAACCCAGTCAACAGCCCACGGCTGTAAAGGTTGGATGCTACTGCTGTTGTTCTGTTGGGCATGATGTGCCTTTCAAACTGCCTTCTAAACAACTAACTGTATGTTATAGAACAGTGCTAATGGTAGCACTGGTCATCAACGCTTCTTTTTGCAGTGGTCAGTGGTAACTCCACAGACCCGTGTGGTTAAAGTACTGAGAATAAGTAACTGTTGAATGCTCAGCATGAACAGAACACTTCCCCGAGACATAGGAAATACGAAGATTAAAAAGGCAGGAAGTCTGTAAGAGACAGAGTCAAGTGGGAAAGCAATACGTGACACTGGCTTCTAAGCATGACATGGTTGTACACTTAGACTCATAGCACAGTGATTACCTGCACACAAGTCTAGGATGGTCAACCTCTAGACCAGAAGGGGAGGGGCTTGTAGGGACCCACCCCTCCCAAAGAATTTATATGTTAACAGTGGACAGGGAGGAGAAGGACATCTTCTTCAGTGGTATAGAAATTGGTAAAGGGTACATGATCCTGTAAGCAATCCCGATGAAATCCATTGATTGGGTCATCTTCATTACCCACCCCCCCAAAAAAGAGAAACCAGACCCGGAAGTCGAAGAGAGGCTGGATGAGAAGAGGAAACGGATTGTTAAGAGCAGGAAGAGGGGCAAGGGAGGGCAACAGAGCCACAATGATTGACATGTATCATGTTCATGTATGAAAATGGAATAATAAAATGAATTATTACATATAATTAGTATGTGCTAATAAAAATGTAAAATTGAGTTTGCCCAAAAGTTGCTCCAAGGTTAGAATTTCCCAAACCAAGACAAGAGAGTGGGGTGTGTCAGGGTGTAAGCCCTCAGAGCAGAGACAAGGAAACAGAACATCAACATGTACCGGGTTCGGTGTGGCCAGTCACCCCAAACCATTCACAAAAGCACAGAGAGGACTCACTAGCCCCCACTGGGAGCCATGAACAGGGACGCACATGAGGTTGAAGGCTCAGTATCTCTCCTGAGTAACTGCAAAGTCGGATATCAAGAAACAGTCCTTTGCTTTACACAGAAGACATACTAATAGGAGCTGAGCTGAAGCTTCAAGGTTCAGGTCTGATACAAAAGGAGGCATCCTGGTGAGACAGCAAAGGCTCACTCGCTGGAGGGGCTGGAGCTGGGCAAGTGCACACACAGAAGAGGCAACATGACTTCGAGCCCTCCTTCTGTGCACACCTGCCTGCCAAGGCAGAACCTGCATCTGAGCTAAACATACCTCTTCCTGTGCCTGCTGTCTGCTGTGTCTCATCTTCTCAGGACACCGGAACTCATGTGATCCTAGGGCAATACTGCCACAGGTAAAATCAAACACAGAAGCCTTGTGTATCCTGTAATATGTGAGTGTGGGCTTTGAAAACTGCTTCTCATCATGGTCATTACAAAGTACATAAGCACATGCACATTCTGAAGCAACACCATTCAAACACCAATAAAGCTGATGTAGAAACCTGTGGGGGGACAGAGGTAACACTCCCCAGGAAAAGGCAGCCAGCAGGGGCACAAGCCAACACAGCCAGACCAGCAATGAACAATTTAAGGATCCGGTGCAACCTTTCCATTCTGTTTCATTTTTAATAGCAAATGTTGCCCTTAGCACATTTGGCCCGCAAAGACATTGTTTTTAAACAGGTTATCTTCTGTGCAGTTGAGAGTGGGCCATTGCAGAGCACAGTTTGGAAGACACTAAATAAAACAAATAGACTCTGGCATGATAAATAATCACAAGTTGTTAAGCAGAAAAAGCAAGCAATTTGTTTTGTTTTGTACAAAACTGCTTGGTTTTACAGCAGCAAGAAGGCACCTAAGGGAGAGATGCCTCTAGTAATTGGATTTTCACAGATACAGAAACTGAAATTGTTTCTTTGAGGAGTGTCCTAACACATGGAGATCTTGCGGCTGTCCAGGTTAATTCCAGCCTCTAAGAGAGCAAGAGGCAGGAAGCTTTCTTAAGCAAGAGGCTCCTTGAGATGTTGTCTAGGCTATTATTATAGAGGTTTTGCAGTCAGAGTGCAGACCACTCTATCTGTGCTCAGCACAAAGCTCCCAAGCACTGAAGAATGACCTTAGAGACCGGTCCAACTGCTTTATCAGAGAAGAGAAGAAGATGGCTTAGAAAAGAAGGAGCAGGCAAGAGCTCACCCGCCTGCCCGCCCTCCACCCTTCTCCTCCCTCCCTCCTCACTGCTGTTTTAGTGCCAGATGCACCTTTGCTGTGGTGTCTCCCTTTCACATTGGAGAATGCTTATCATCAACTCTGGTCAGTAGTAATCTCTCCCATCCCAATGTAACAAAAATCAATGTCTCCAAACACATCCAAACATCCTCTGGAAAGGGCAGTGCTTTCCCAGTTAAGGACCACTGGATTTGACTGGTACTAGTGACAATCAAATCCTCTGATGCATTCCTGGTGGTGTTTTTGTAGCTCATGAATACCTGATGTTCATAAGTAAATGACCTGATGCTGATTATATCAACTGACCTTATGAACAAGCTCTAAAACACTGAGTCCTTCAGTGTTGGACTACATACACTGGCTTAGTGTATCTCATGTGACCAGAAACGCATATAGATATGGAGAGGCTAAGATTAATAGAATCTCTAAGATGATAAGTATCATTTGGGGATGATATAAGGTGAGGTAAGAAATATCACATCCAGAGGTACTCCAAAGAGAAATCACGACACACATGGCAAACTCCTCCCTTCTTAGATAAATCCAACATACAGTACGCCCTAAATATAGAATTATCTTGGAAAAAAAAGACAAGAAGGTACTTTAACTATCAAGTTATTTAATGATCTGACTCTAGAGATACGAGACCCAGAAGAGCAGAGGTTCCCTAGATCAGTGATGCAGAACAGTGAGTGGCCTTTGGACCACCAACGAAGAAGGCAGGCTCAAGCTTCTGGAGCATATCGGTTCCTATGGCCAGCACCAGCTCCGACAGCACAGGCTTAGGGACTATAGTGTTTGACTGTTACCTGTTTCTCTTTTTCCGGTGTTCTCTGTTAGAATTTTCCGACTCACTACCACTGCTTGTGTTACAGCGTGAGCGCGACCTGAAGACAAAGCAAAAAAAAAAAAATTATGACAGATTATAGACAGGCTCATCAGGTACTCTATGAGCAATTTTGTAGAAAAATCATGAATCCAAACACAAAGACCCATCTTATCCCTCTCTCAGTAAGAAGTGTTTCTGGATTTGGTCAGATTTTTGAGCTAAGTCTACCACTCAGAGAAAGAGCAGGGCAGGAGGAAGAGGAAAGTACGTGACAGGATTTCCCAGAAAGGACTCGGAAGATCCATCATGCTTAACAAAACCAGCATGGCAAAGCTAAAACAAACATGGAAGACAAATCAGGGACATATCACCTCCCCCAGCCCCTTTCGGAGGCAGTTAGACTTAATTGCCACTGCTTTGAATTTGAACTGATCCTATGACAGTTTTCACCAACAGAATAAGGTGTGGGGGATAGCCTTCCAGTTCCAAGACTAGCCCACAAGGCTATTTGCAGGCCCTTTGGGCAACACAGCATCAGCTACTGTCTGACCTCTGCCTGCTCAATCCACTTGGACACACACACACACACTATGTTTGTTGTTGCTTTAAGCCAAGTGGTGAAGTGGTTTAGCATAAGGCAGGGCATAGGGCTTGAGATACCTCCTCAGAAGGCACAAAAGGAAATAAAGAGAACTAGCAAAGGTCAGAACGGAGCAGAAGACTGAGATCCAGCAACACTGGCGTTAAAACATAAAGACTGGCAATGCAGACATAAAGCAGACATTGCAGAGAGGGAGAAATCTCCACTCTTGTCTCAACCACAAGCACTCTCATCCTTTCTCCCCTCTGACTCCTCCTTTTGCTTTCTTACCTCCTCCTTTGCTTTAGATCTGAGTCTTCGCCACTGTTGTGAGCTTTCCTGAGGAAGACAAAAGAAGTTACAGAAGGCAGCATCATCTATGACTAAGAGAGCAGGCAGAGTTTCATACCCATTAATTCAGATGCCTTCAGGACTGGTTCACTTGCTACGCAGTTATGTCGTGTATAACGTCCAGTCCTATGACAGGTCCCAGAGACTCCACACATCACCGCTGGCTTCAAGCACCCAGTCATCTACAGTGAGGCTGTGGCCTATGCGTAATGCCCCTATTGAATAAGCTACACTCATCCAACAACATTAGCTTGTGGCTTCTAGGTCTGTAGCCCTCTAAGCCACCTTTCAGCTGATTCCACCTCTCACTTGGATCCTGGCCTGGAGCTCCTTATCTCTTCTATAAAGACCTCACCCACCACAACTCACCAAGCTACACCTTCCTTAAGCTTTGACCTTTATTATCTCTAACCATCTCTAAACACACTTCCCCCACTTACTGTTTACCTCTAAGCTCTTCTAATAGGGCATCTTGTTAAGAAACAAGGCACTAGTGACAGACCACGGGAATCCAAATCGCATCCTCTCCCTGAAGAACGTCGTGACCCCTGATACTCCTTTGAGTGGCTCAGTGTTTTGTCTTATTTTTAAATTTTTATTCTATATGTATGGGTGTTTTGTCTGCATGTATGCCTGCATACCATGTATGTGTCTGGTGCCCTCAAAGGCCAGAAGAATGTGCTGAATCTGCTGGAACTGGAGTTACAGACAACTGTGAGCTGTTATTTGGGAATTAGGAATCAAAGCTGAGTTTCGAAAGAACAACCAGAGTTCTTAACCCCTGAGCCATCTCTCCAGCTCAACGTGCCTTGGTTTTAATAGGACCTCCATAAACAGTTATGAGGTGGAAGAAAATGGGGCTGGAGGGATGGCACAGCAGGTAAGAGCAGGCACCTTGCAGAGGACCTGAGTTTAAGTTTATCAGGCAGCTTACAGTGACCTGTAACACCAGCTCCTGGGGATTGAGCACTGCAGGCACCTGCGCTCACACACACCCCTCTCCAACACATACATGTAACTTAAAAATAAGAGAACTAATTCTTTAAAGCACACTGCATTTCAAGTGAGGAGACACATATCATTGTACAATGTCACCATTTCTGCTTGCTCACCTGTCTTCACCGTACCCCGATCTGACCCCATGACCTCTGTGTATGGCATCCCCACACAGCTTGGGATTCCATTCAGTAACCCACATGGCAGTGCTCAGGACTTCCCCAACTGCTTTTTATTCCAAAGTATGCAGGTTTTCTGGGTCAGCCCCAAATAGCTAGCTGAGCATCGTTGGCCAGAAGGAATTGAACAAGCGTATGTTCGTTACACTGACAAACTGCTTTCCTGATTGCAAGCTTCATTCATTCAACAGTCTGACACCATTTTGTGACCTAAGTACTGTTTCTGTGGCCTGCTGTCAACATCTCCTGTGGTGCCCTTTGGCTAAGGTGGCTCTGCATTAGCTTGTCCCTGCCTTCTCCTCCCAAAGGCAAAGGAGGCATCAGATAAGACTTCCATCTTCCCTCTACCTGAAATAAAACTTACCAGTATCTCCCCGCTACTTACAGAACTGTGTTGACAACAAAGGTTAGCTCCCCCGCCTCCCCTTGTGCTACATGGACTCGTGGAGATCATGAAGACTGCTGTCTTTTTCTTTTCTTTCTTTCTTTTTTTTTTAAAGATTTATTATGTGTATGAGTACACTATTGCTCTCTCCAGACACACCAGAAGAGGGCATCAGATCTCATTACAGATGGTTGTGAGCCACCATGTGGTTGCTGGGAATTGAACTCAGGACCTCTGGAAGAGCAGTCAGTGCTCTTAACCACTGAGCCACCTCTCCAGCCCGACCACAGTCCTCTTGATCATCTTCATTAGCTCCCACACATATTCAACTTCCTTGTCAACCCTCCCCCGTTTTAGCTTTTAATATTATCAACACAACCTTTTTCTTAACATTGTGCATTTATTATTAGTGCTTATGCGTGAGAGGTCAGAGAACAGCTTGAAGCAGTTGGTTCTCTCCTACCACTATCTGGGTCCTAGGACTGAACTCGGATCATTAGACTTGGCAGCAAGCACCTTTACTTGCTGAGACATCTGACCAGCCCTCAACATAAACTTTGACTCTATATAACTCCTCTTTTTCCAGCTGTCCCTCCTCTCTTTCAAAGCCAAACTTCCAGAGAGACATCGAAAGCCTCAGCCCCATCTCCTTCCCATCATCCTCCCACATACTCTAAGAAGAGTGGACAAGGCTCTGACCTCACCACCTGTGTCTTCCTGCTGCGTCTAACATGCTTAAGCTGAGTAAGACACACAGATATACCATCCCCACCCACATACTAATTTGGGGGTGGTTAGGCATCCGAAGGAGCACAGTCACATGCATCTGACCTGCTCTGTAGTAGGCAGCAGGTGCAGCAGGTTCACAGTCTCTGCTTTGGAAGATGCTCACAGATGCTAACACAGCAGCACACACGGGCTTTAAGTGTAGTTCTGCTTTCCAATGTAGTAACATTTAACATATATTATTGTAATATATTGTAATGCATATTATATAGTTAGCATAATATCTATGGTTTTCAAATTAGCCATTTTAAATACAGAGAGCAAGTGACCACAAATATTATACAAAAATATTCTCTAAAACTGTTTCAGATAAATACTTTGACTCCCTAACTTCCTTTATTTTGCAAAAAGAGCAAACTGCCGGTGATCAAGAAGAGACCAACAGTAGTGGCCCTCTGAGGCTCATGTTAAGAAAGCATGCCCAGGATGGGAAGCGTCTGGTCACACTGGAATCAGAACTGGGTTCGCCCACCTTCGCCTCATCGGCTGCGAGGAGTCATTGTCGCTGCCACAGGAGGGGTTGCGCTGCCGTGTACAGGGAAACTTTGGTGACTTAGTGCGGTCACTGGGGGAGTTGTAGAGTCCACTGGAGTGAGAGAAATAGTTCATGCGTCAGCTTGGGAGTTTACACGAGTCAAGTGTGGAGTGTCAGCATTAACATCATTTGGAACTGTTTTCAGAAATATAGCCTTACTCTCGCGCCGCGGTTCTCAACCTTCCTAATGCCGCAACAGCTCCTCAGGTTGTGCTGACCCCAGCCATAAAAGTATTCCATTGCTACTTCATAACTGCAATTTTGCTACTGTTATGAACTGTAGTATAAATATCTGATGTGCCGGATATCTGATATGTGATCCCCAAAGGAGTCACAACCCACAGGTTGACAGCCACTGCTCTGAATGATCATGACTGGCGTGTAGATGACTTTTTTGTACACACCAGTTTCCCTTCCTGTTGTTCTAAAAGGTAACGCATTAGGAACTGACTCCCACTTCAGCATTTCAGTCACAGGGCAGTTTCCTCCACTGAGCAAGGTATGACACATCCCTCTGCTGCTTTCTCTCCAAAAGCCGAGAGGCTCCTTACCTCTGGGGTCCGTTTTCTTCCCAAGGTGCATGAGATTTGCTTCTTTGGGGGTCAGGGCTGTTTTCATTCTTTGCTTTCTTAAAACTTTAATAATAAAGAATAGAAAATAAGTTGGCCAAAAAATTACATTAATTCATAGATTTATTCAGAAGACAAAATGACACTGACATATCTCCGTGCTTATAGCCCTGACTCCTTCTGAAAAGACCCCAGGTGACTGATTAACAAACGTGTTTCTCCTGCAAGCGCTTTGGTGTCTCCTCTCTGATTCCAGTTGTATTCCTTTATGGGAAGAGAAGCCAAGCTGATCGATTGTTAAGAAACTTTCTAAAGACTCCACGGTAAAAGGAAAGAGAAGATGGTGGGAATTAGGTGGGCCGCAACAGAAGATCTGTGGAAAGGCCTTACATAAAACCACTACTTGGTAAATTAAATTAAAAGCATAAGTTAAGTCAGGGTGTGTGGCAAAGGCATTTAATCCTAGCACTGGGAAGGCAGAGAGAGGCAAAGGGATCTCTGAGCTTAGGACCAGGATGGTCTACATAGGGAGTACCTGTATATTATATGCTATATCTAAATGTATATGATGTTATATTATATATGTAATTATACACGCATACACACACACACACACACACACACACATATTTTGAAGGAGTTTAAATGGAGAACTCTGTATAAATGACAGTAATTTCCCCAGAAGCCATGAGTTAAGTTTTGCATAATAAAAATACTTTTTATCTAATAATTAAGTTGTCCATTACAATGAATTTGATAGCAGAACCAAAGACATGGAATGAAGGGGGGCCTGTTACTGAGGTAGTAGCCATGTCATTGGCCTGCCGCACGCAACATCACATTTTAGTTCCACTAGACAGTTGTGCTTTACTTCAGAGATTGCAGAGCTACCATCCCAGTTCTCAGTCCATGCTCTGTGACTATTTCCATCTGGTTCCTTCGTTTCCACTCAGCTGCCTCCCTTCCTGTGGGTTTTGGTCAGAGAGGCCGCAGAGACTCCCAGAACAGCCGAGGCGGCTGCCATTGCTCTTGACGGCCACTATCACTGGACAGTAAGACCACACTGCTGAAGGAAACAACACAACTCTATTGCAGCATATACAGAAACCAAGCTAGAATTATCTGGAAACCTGCCCCCTCCTGACCAGCTTTCATAGTCCTGAAAGTTGCTAGGTAGGCCACTGGGGGAGAAAAGCCAGCAGGGGACTTACTCAGGAGCGGTGTGAGCTCTGAATACTGGCCTGCCAGACAGCATGTGCCCACAAGTGCAATACTGGAACATTAATGGAGCTAACCATCTGCTTTCTGATAGAATCCTGCTCCACCAGAGAGAATACTTGCCTAATGATGGGGGTGGGAAGGAGGAGAGAAGAGAGGGTAGAGCATCCTTCCCAGAAAAAGAAGCAACAGCTACTACCAAGTAGAGAAAGGCAGCAGGCTGAAAAGGAAGAGAACCTGGGTGTAGTAGTTTGAACAAAACTGGCTCATACAGACTCCTGTGTTTGCATAAGGTCCCTAGTTGGTGGGCCAGTTCAGAGAAGTGTGTTACTGATGCATTGAGACTTCAGAAGCCCATGTTATTATCAGTTAGTTCTCTCTGCCTCACGCCTATGGGTCAGAAGCATGCTCCCAGCTGCAGCTCCCATGCCGTACCTGCTGGCCTGCTTTCTACCATGATGATGGTCACGGACTCTAATCCTCTGGAACCATGAGCCCCAAGTTAAATGTTTTCTTTTATAAGTTACCTTGGTCAAGGTGTTTTGTCACAGCAATAGAAAAGTAACTACGACACCAGGGCACCCATTCACATGAGGCTGGCTAGACTTTACAGCAGTGGCCAGACTCCCTGGCTCCAAGTTTGGCTCTGAAGCACTGAAAGTTAACCCTGGGGAAGATCAGGCTACCCTAGCTGACCTCTGTCCAGCTTCCGGATATCTTGGCTCCATCCTTCCGGATCAGAATGACTTCTGAATGTTATTTCCTGACCTAGTGTCATCTTTCTGCCCTAAGAACGCAAATATGACTGAGTTGTTACTCAAGCCCAACAAATTGTTTGGGCACACCTAGGGAAACGGAAGAGATCAGCAGAAGGACACGGGGTCACTCCTCACTTCCTCTGGAGTCCTAGCTTGCAGAGAAAAAGAGTTACTTAGCTGCTAATCCACATTTAATCCTAGTCCTTAGAGGGATCTGGACAGTTGTTACAGAAGAGGACTGTAACAGAATTCTTAGCAATAGCAACAAGAGGAGAAAGAGAAACCAGAGAAAGTGACAAGGGTGTTGCAAAAACAAGAGACAAACATCTGTTGGGATGCTCTATCCACACAGGAATAACTCATGCCTGCACAAGGTACACAACAAGGGCACAGGCATCAAGCTTTAGTAGATGTGGGCATGTTTTACATAGGTTCAATATATTGCTCAATAATTTAAAACCAAAATTTCAAAGATTAAGTTTTCAAAGTAAATGCTTCCCTTTTGAACTGAGAAAAAGTTGAAAAAAAAAAGTACAGTGAAGCTCTAGTACAGTAGCACAAAGTGTATCTGTTTACTAAGTCAGGAAGGAAAAACTGAGGAGGGAAGAGGGAGACAGGGAAGACTAGAGAGATGAAAAGGAACCCACAAGCAGCCGAGTGTTAAAGAGTAACAAAATCCCAGGTGACACAGTAACTATGTTTCTTCCCTGAACTCCTTCTCATCTTCAGCCCAGTGAGCTGCAAAGGGGACTGAGTCCTCTCGATGAGGCTTGGGGGTCTGAATTTCACAGAGGATCGCTGTTCTGATGTTGCAGGGTGTAGCCACCTCCACCCGGTAATGCAAGGCCAGCTAGGGAAACCGAGTCAATGAAGACACACTCAAAGGTGAAGAATGTGTCCTCCCAAAAGGCTGATTTGGAAAGAGAATGCCCCAAACTGAAGAAAAGGAGACAGGCCTCCAAAAGTGTAGGGGAAACATCACAGTTCTGGAATCTTCACATTTTTGTAATTTTCTTACTGGGGAATTATGCCTCATTCCTCAAAGGCACTACAGAGCAGCCGAATGAAGGCGCCATTGTCAACTAACAAACGATGGAGTGGAGGATGATCTAAGGCATCCCTGCAGGTCACACAGCTCTGACTGCTGGGACTCCCTCTCCGTGATGCAAGCCTGTATAGGGAAAGTGAGCTCCTCAAAGCTGCTCATTGTGCGCTGATAACACTACTCCATGTATATAATTGGAGACCGGAAAAAATGACTCTTAACAGAGAACAAAGCAGATCTTTCAGGAAGCAACCCATATAGCATATTAAGAGGAGGTTTTTCCAGTGAATGGTCCTGGGAAAACTGATCCCATTGACCATGATGGGTCTTCATACGTATACAACCTCTGAATGCCGAGACCCTGGGATCTCTAAAGCTGATAACCTCATCCCAGGGCCACAGCTTAGTGTGTCACTGTGAATAATACAGTATCTTTAACAAAAACATCATCCTCTTTACTTCCCCAATCCCTATAAGTTAGTCCGTTGTGTGATGACTGTAAAGACCACATGGAATTCTCAGTGCATGGATACATGCTGCAGACAGCGCATGCATATAGTCTGGAACTTCCACCATGAGGGGCAGGTTCCAGTGTTTGAATTTTGCTGACATAAGAACATGCTCTTTGGCTCAGACACTATCTACTAGAGTCCCTAGGTTAAAGTGCTCATCAGTAATTACCAAAGTGGAAAGAGTCTTAGCCTTGCCAACAAGGGGACGAACTTTCATAGAGTACATACCCGCACACTGACCTTTTCACTGGTGAGGGCGCAATGATCTTGGTGGTCCCTTCGCTCTCCCCGTTTTCCATGTTTCCGGTTATCCGATTGATGACGTTTGATCCTAGTAACAAAGGAAGAGGAAAGATGGATGACAGGAGACTGTGAGGAGGGAAACAGAAAGACGCAGAATAACGATCTGGAAATGCAAATTTATGGCTGGTGCGATAGTCCAGTCAGTAAAGTGGGTGCCATACAAACACAGGGATCAGATTTAGGTTCCCAGAATTCATGCCAAACATAATGGCAGGTATTTGTGATCTCGATGCTGGAGAGGTGGAGACAGGCAGGCCCTGGAAGCTCAACAGCCAGCCTAGACTAACTGAGAAGCTCCAGGTCCCTGATCTCCACAAATGTATACACACTGTAACACCTAGGCACACTCTTACACAAAAATAAAGAAATAAAACGCGATTTTGGGTAATTTGTGGCACATTTTATTGATACATTATGACTCCAAATAAATGATCATCCACTCAATAAACCTGAGATATTACTATCTGATACAAACAGTGCTGCCCCAGGAGTCTAAGCTATTATCTTTGAAGAATATTAGTAAATTCTCATATCATTGACTTTTAAAAAAACAAACCAAAAAGATAAAGCAAAAAAAAAATAAAAACCGAAAAACCTTAGACTCTGAAAACAAGATTCTAGGCTATTCATTACCATATTGGAATATAAAACATTACCAGTTCTTTGAGACCATGCTGTACAGTGTTTCAGCCTGTCATGACTGGTCTCATTTGAAATCACAATGAAACTCCCCAAACTTGAAACCTGTGAGAACGTTCCAACTCAAAATGCAAATGGCAAGAGGAAAAATGAGCATGTGTTATGTGTATTCATATACCAAAGAAAGTTTTCAAATATATCTTTTACAAAACACGCCTCAAACCCTAAAGCTGAATTTTATCCCACCACTGATTTGCATACAGGCGGGATGAGCCAGCAGAGGGAGCCCACAGCAGACACTCTGTTGGGGTTCTGGTTATAAAGTCTGGGTTCTGATCTCAAGGCAGAGATCAGGCAGATGACAGGAAGGACTTGTGTGGCTCTGGTGGTGGCTTTTCTTCTCTCTAACAGGAGACAGCTTAGATGAGAATGGCAGCCAGCCATTAAGTGGCAGGGGGGAACATCTTCTCCAGGGATGTCCCTTAAGGGCCTCTTCAGAGGCAGAGACTAACCCAGTGCCTACTCATCACTAGCACTAAGCAGGCAAGTAACAGAGGTAGCTGAAAACACTAACAAATGCTAGTATTTATGGAGTGTTTGTTGTATGTCCGATACCGTTCTAAACAGTCCATGTGTATTTACTCATGTAACCCTCAAAATAGCCTTAGGGGCTGGAGAGATGGCTCAGTGGTCATAGGACCTTGATCTTGTAGGACCTGAGTTTGGTTCCCAGCACCCACAGAATGACTCACAACCACATGTAACTCCAGTTCCAGGGGATCTAACACCCTCTTATGACCTCCATGGGCACCAGGCACCCATGTGGTACGCATTCATACATGCAGGTAAAATAGTCATGCATGTAAAATAAAATAAGTCTAAAAACAAGACAGAACTTTTAATCCTATAGCTCCCCAGTCAACTAGCTCAGCCACCAAGATTTAAATCTTCCCCTACCCCAACACACACTGTCGCTTTCTATCTTCCATTTAAACGCCTCCTACAAACAGCATGAGTCAGTATAAATTAAAGGTCAACCAGGAGACAGAGCCAGACACTTGACTACCTACTTATTAAATTTCAGGAGAAACAGTTAAAGGAAACTAGATCAAAGTGACTAAGTAAGTTGACTTTACTGCCAAACAATTGGTTGTTAGACAAAGATTAGTGTGTCTGAGAGGTGAGAGGCGAGCCTGGGTTAGCCGGGTACACAGCTTTGAATGACACCATGTCCGCCTTTACTCCGCTGTGCCTCAGCTGGCCTTACTGGCAACAGGGCCTTATGTGGCCCCATCCTTCAGTTCAGTAGGAACAGTTGTCAAAGCAGAATCGACTTGCCCAGATCTAGTTAGCCACTTGATTTAGGGACAATTCTTCAGGCATCCTGTGATGTCAAGATTTGAGGATGAGCACACGTGCATTTTTCAATGAGAAAAACATTTATTTTACTACTATAGAATTGTACACAATTCATAACTTGACACTTGTCAGGCCACAGTCAAAACTCTGACGTTACTCAGTGTAGTTGCGGGATATTGGAGCACACTGTGAACCCCGAGATTGTATTATTTACTAGGAAAAAAACTGATTTTGGTCCTGGTGTGGCTCAGCCTTAACATTCACCTTTAATCCAAGAGTGAACATAGGATTGCTAATAAAAACCACAGAGAGTAAGAGGGAGTCAGGAGGGTGGATAGAGAGACGCACAGGAAGCAGAAGGGAGGGACATGAGTCTGAAGGAGGTTTTCTGAGAGCAAGGAATTCCAGGAGGGACATGGGCTGAGGAAGAAGGTCGGCTGGGTACTTTCTCTGCCTCTCTTAGCTACCAGGCTTGCACCCCAGCATTTGGCTCCCAAGTCTTCATTGGTAAAATGGAAGGATTGCGACTTAGTTAAAAAACAATAACAACATCGTGCCGTTACTATTCATTTAGAGTGAATAGGAAAGCACATAGCATTAAAATGAAAAAACAAAAAAACATGTTTGGCAAGTAAGAAAAACACATATACAGGAAAAGTAAAAGAACAGAGTGTCTGCATAAAAGTAATTTGTGCCATGTGAATAATTTCTTTTAGATACTTTCAAATACCAATTTGTAAACTTAAAAAAATGTTCGTTTATCTGGTCTATTATGCCTCTTTTGCTTGAAGGTGTATGTGTGCATCATGTGCATGCCTGGTGCCTGCAGAAGTCAAAAAAAGAACTCACATCCTCTGGAACTGGAGTGTTGGATGCTTGTGAGCCACCATGTATCTGCTCAGAGATAGATCTGTGTCCTCTGCAGAGTTCTTTAACTGCCAAGACTTCTCTCCAGCAAGGCCCCCACCCCATTTGTAAATCTTTATGATTTCATTTTACTTAATCCTATTTTATGCTTTCTCTATACTTTGATTTAAAAAAACAACTATATACTAATACTTAGGCCCCATAATATCACAATACATCATGGCCATTGTCAACAAAAGAAATCTGGGAGTTTCAGTAAATTAACCATCTACTCCAGGACAGCCTATCTGAAGAAACAATGTACTCACGAAGAAAACTGAGTTTAGCCCTTGGAACTGTTTCAGTGTTATTCCCATGCTGGCAGTACAAAGTCACCTTGCCTTAGTTACCCTGGCTTCTCTGAGTATTATGGGATAAAATGGCAAAGTAGAATAAATTAGCAAAATAAAAGATTTCCTTTTCTTATACCAGCGATTACAGTCAAACATTAAAATGATCCAAAAACAACCTTCTCCCTATTACCATGGAAGGTTTGCATTTGGCAGAACACAGCCTTACTAAACTGCACAGCAAAAGCAGGTTTTGAAACACATGCGCCGGAAACTGGCAGTGTTTCTGCATCCAATGGCCGATTACTTAAAGTTCAAATTCCTGATGCCAGCTCATCCAGACAAAGGGGTCCCTACTGTCTTAAGAGTTTCTGGCTTCAAAGTCCCAAGACATCCATTTAAGCCCATCCACCTCCTCTCTATAGATGCACTGACTTTCAACATCGATTTGCTTCATGTCAACTGCAAGATCAAACAAGGCATCTACCAACATGCTGGAGGGAGGATTAAACACATGGGAGTGGCAGGGAGGCTACTAGGGAAATACGTCAATGCACAAAAGAACCTTCCAGAGTTCATCTGCTTGCAGCTTCCTCTTTCCTAGCATAACACTGCCCAGCCTGGGTAGCTGGCTTCCATTCTTACTGGCACAATCAACGTGGGGATGAGAGGTCCATAAACACAAAGGTCCATTTTCGCCGTCCTCTGCCAGAGGTACAGAGATGCTCACATTCTGAGTCACGGGTAGCCAGAGAGGTTTTTTTTTTTTTTTTTCTCTACCACTTAGGATACCAGGTTCGAAAACAAGACTGGGAGACTTGAGTTTAACTCTCTGAAGACTTGTAAATTGCACCGTGTTGGAGAGCCTGCCAGCGACCTGAAGCATCTGTCCCTCAACCTTCAGGGCCCAAAGATAACCCTTATCTCTGGAATCAAATTACATCATGCACCCAGACACCAATTACTTTTCCTAGGATTTGAGAACATAAATTGTGTCACCGGAAGAAAAAGCCGGTATACAAATTCCTTAAGACACTGGGAATACTCCCAAAGCTCAATGGGACCCTACATCTTAAAGTACAAGATAGCAAGACTTCTCCAGGCCACCATCTCTCAAACCTCAGGCAGAGGAGTCAGTCCACCTGTTTCAGTGGAGAGAGTACTGAGCCACTCACTGCTTTGTATTAGATAAAGCATGCATAACTGTATACAAAGATTAGCTTAAAATTTATTTTATTACACATATGGCTGTTTTGCCAGCATGTATGTCCATGCACCACATGTGTTCAGTGCCCATGTAGGCCAGAAGATGGTGTCAGAGCCCCTGAAAGTGGAGTTACAGAGAGTCGTGAGATGTTTGATTGTGGGTACTGGGAATCGAACCCAGGTTCTCCAGAAGAGCAACATGTGCTATTAACCAAAACCAAAAGAAACCTTTTTATTGGTTCTTTGTGAATTTTACATCATGCACCCCAATCCCACTCATCTTCCTATTCCTTCAACCTCCCCTCTGCCTTGCAACAAAAGAATTTTAAAAATAATAAAAAAAAAAGCACAAAACCAATCTCACCACGGAGGCTCACCCTTTCAGCCCACCTTCACTTACAAATGCTCCCTGCAGTGAGTCATTGGTCTGGTGTGAGGCCTCTGCCTTCGGCTACACCATCAATACTGGACCCTCACAGGGACTCCTCTTGGATATCCTGTTGTTGCCCTGTGTCATGGAGATCCTGCAGCGTTGGATCTGCAGAGCCCAGTCCTTTCACATACCCTAACAGTTCATAGATGGGACAGATGTTAGTGTGGGCCAACTCAAAGCCCTGGATCTAGGTCT